TGTTTCGGGAATGAACCTGCAAGGAAACGACAAAGGATGGTTCAGTTTGGAGGAATTCTGAAAACCTTCAAGTTTTCAAGTTTTCGGGGTTCCCGAAGCGCCTTCTAGTTGGCTTTGGAAGGAAACCAAAAGGAGACCAAAAGGATTTCAACCCAATTGGTGGGTCCCCTAAAGTTTGAGACAAACTCTCAACCATGACTCAGGAGCCATGGTTTCATCCCCGTTGTTCCGTGTTGCCAGTACCAGCCAGTGGCGGCCCAGATCCTGAACCTGCCTAAAAGCAAGCAACTGAAAGTCTCTAAAAATGAGGGCCTGTGAAGCTTTCAGTCAGGTCTATGAGCCGCACGACTCGAAAGCATGGGGTGCACCTAGGGAGGTCAAGGTTGTCTTGTTCGATCACTCCCGCGAGGACTATCACGTCAAGCCAGGTGAACGTATTGCGCAACTTATCCTTGAGCGAGTCACCATGCTCGAAGAACCATAGTAAAGAATCCTCACAGTTAAGCTCGTCTTGTCAGGGAAGCTCCTGAGTTGTTTTTGTTGAATCATTTGTGCATTGTGCGGCCACCCAGCTATAATATATATATATATATATACAGCTGATTTTCCGTTTATCCGAAGGAAAACCACGGGACATGAATAAAGCCGGCCTCTCGCAATGGATGTGGGCCCCCCTTCCATGCCCCAGCGCCTCTTGCGCGCGATCTTCGGACTCCGGCTCTGTCTCAACTTCGGGTTCATAGGCCTTCGCGAGTGGTTTCAGCTTTAAGACAAGGGCCTGGTCTAACTAAGAGTCTAAAGAAATACTTTGCCCAAACCTGGTCAAGGGTCGAAACGAATAATAGCCAGCCAAATAGATGGGGCTCCTGCAAGTGGGCACAAAGCCATGCTCCTCTCATCTGCTTTGGTCAAAACTCCTTGTCCGGAGCGGTCCTTCTTCCCATGTCCCCCGTGGCAATCTATTTGTCAAGGGATTATGACTACTGCTGTCAACCCGTTGCAATCAGCGAATGACAGGGCTCCCTTTACCCATGCATGGTCATAATTGTTGAAAGACAAGTGAGGAAAGGGCAGAAAATAGTAAAGGGTCACCCTTGTGAATGGAAGGAACCAGGTCACTTGGCCGTGCTTCCGTGTATCTTGGATGTTTCCAAGACTTTGCAGGATGCGGTCGGGCTTCGGCTCACGATGCATGGGGTCCTATTGGTTTTGGGTTGAAGGGGGCGGTTTGGTCGGCCTCGGGGGACTTAGAGTATTAGTCTGAGGGCAGGGCTGCCTTAATTCTGGGCTGGGGCGAGTGTGTCGGGTTGGGGATTTCTGCTCGGTGCGTTCAGGCAAGCTGGGGCTCGGGATGTGCTTGTTTGCTTTTGCACTCGCATGTGTCCTGGCAAGCAACTTGCAGACCTCACGCATCTCCAAATCTCCAGGGAAACAAGAGAAAGAAGTGTCTGGACCTCGTGTGAAATCGCCGTTGGCAAACGTTTGAAGATTTTGGGAAGCACAGCATCGCTGGAGGTCAAGCATGCACCCTTTTCCATCACTGCGCGCCCCCATCGCACTCACATCTGAAGACTCCCTCAGATGCCTCGCTTCCCTGGATCCCGAGCACTGCATGTCCGGCTCAGATGGGCAAGGCTCTTTTTGGTGGCGGCCCGTTGTTTGGTTTACAAATTGCCTGAAAACCCGAGAAAACAGCGACCGAGTCTGCGAGCTCCAGGGAAGCGTTGAGAACATTCGCCCCGCTCGGACCTGCGAATGCCTCGGCAAAGGCTTGGGCGCTCACACCGGTGTGCCCGCTTTAGCCCAGCGGCCAGGCCGAAACATGGACGCATTTCTTGGTTGGTTGATTTCAAACGGAAAAATCCAGGCAAAAGCAGAAAGGGCACTGGAGATCTGGGAAAGCACAAGCAAATCTTCCATTGGCACTTGCAGCTGTACACCATGCTGGCAAGATTCCATAAGCCTGAAGTGGGCGATCCCAAATTCTATTCATCTCGTCTTCTCCACGAAGGAAAACTGAAAATGTCTCCAATCCAATCGAAATCCCTCTCCCGCAAATCTGAAGTGTCCACTCAACGCAAACTGTATACAGAGACACATGCAAAAGCATGTGCTCTTGACGTTCTGTCAAAACAAGTCGAATGTTTTAACTGGCTGCAGCGTTGAAACCTTGGACACCTGCATTTGCAAATCACATTGAAAGAGCGCAGCTGCAGCATGTTCACGCACATTTTTATTGGGCTGCCTCGGTGGAACTTTTCGAGTGGCTTCCGTTCAAAAAAGAACGCGAAAATGGTTCCCGCAGACAAGCCAGGCCCACATGCTTCCCAGGTCAATCTCCAAGTTTCTGAGTCGCGGACATCCCCCCCGCATCTCTCCGTCAGCCGAGCCCCTCTCTCTTTGCCTGTCGCGAGAAGTTCACAGGTACCTCTTCGCATGTTGATGCTTGAGTCGATGTCCTCAACTCGCAAATTGACATGGCTCCAGGTTTTCCTCCCACCGACACGGAAGTGCACAAACACTGGTTGGAAGACTACTATTCAAACAAACGAAGGGTCTGCGCCCCAAGCCAAGTGGGAATCTATTGACTTAGACTCTCAGCAAGTGCAGAGGGGTCAATGCAAATAGTGGAAACTATCGCACAAATATACTGGGAAGCCATGTTTCGGGGGCATCATCTTTTGGGGGCCCATGAATAGCAAACCCTTTGGTTGACCAATAGGGTCCCGTTCAAGAGGCAATATGTACTGCTTTCTCTTTCTGTTGAGGGGGGAAGAGAACGAACACCAATTTGCATACAATACACAATGCTGTATCAGAAGAACCTGGATAACATGCCTCCCCCGGTTTTGGAAGACACATTTCATTGCGAAGGTCTGTCGAATGCAAATGCCCATCCCCACATGGTCCCTTGGTCCCCCTTTGAGGATGGTTTTTTGGGCTCCCTTGGTCCCCCTTTGATGTTTTTGGGGGTTCCAACAGATTGACCTTGGACTACAAGGTATATGGTTGGGATCCTCAGCCCAGTACTCAGGAATCGGAAGTCACCCAAGCGCCTAGCGCATCTTGCACACGCAGTCCGCTCCTGCGCCACACGGTGATTCTGCGAAGCGGATTTCCGTGGGAATCAAAAAGACGCCCTGTTTTGTTGCCCACCAAAAAAGAAAAACACGCTCCAGTACCCACGAACCACTGTTTTTTGAGACATTTTTTGGAATTGGACATGGACAAAAGCAGTTCTTGAGCGGTTCTGCCTGCCTTTTCTTGGGACACCATCCCGGTTCCTTGGTTGATTTCGGAGGGAAATCCTTCTTTTTGGGCTTCGAGAAGGGTGCCCACTGGGCTGCGTTGCAAACCCAAAGCCATGAGTGCACAATCCCAATAGGCGCCACAAGGAAAACCACCATTTTCGGAGTCCCCAAAAAGAAAGACACAGCCAAATGATAAGTCGGGCAATTAAATTGCTGGAAATGTTCGGAAGGCTTCTAGGAACCCAACTCATCTCCTTTGAATGAGGTTCCATGTCAATCCGGACTCGAAACCAGAAAGTGGCATTCAAAACATGGCAAAGAGTTCTGAATGCATCCCTCATGGCGTGAAAGGTCCAGCTGAATGCATCCCAGAAGTTATGGTGAAAGGCCCTCCTGGCCTAAGTGCTGCGTTCGAGTTGCAGGCATGTTGTGCCGTGCATGGCTCCCTTAAAAGGAACCCGTACAATGGATATCTCAAAGGCCCGTCAACACGTTGATGACCATCCCCACCAACCCGAAGTAAGCAAAGAGATCGTTTGACCATCGTTGAGATAGAATGAGCAGCGGCCAAAATCAATGACTGTTGATTCTATTAAGGTGCTTATACAGATTCTATAGGCTTTGCAAACCCAATAAAACCACGTAGAGCTACCTACTCAAGTGGCCCTTTGGTGATTTTGGGCGCTCAAATGAGGACAACCGCCATCCGAACTCAGTCCGCACCTCAAAAGTCATCGTCCGCCTTAGCGCTGTCCCCAGGTCAGTGACCCGAATCGGCCCTGACCGTGTGGGGGTCCAGTTTTGAGTTGACACAAATCACATACCTCGGCTGTTCGTGGGGAAGGGGCCGTTCATCAAACAGGTGCCAACGCAAACATTGGGTGGGTGTATCTTTGGGGCAAATACGCAAGGGCACTAGACACGGACACAATAAAGCATGCCGGGTGTCCAACCTTTGCTCAGAAAGGCGAGCGCTGGGAATACAGTTGGCCCTGTCATGGTGCCGTTCATAATACGTGCTATGTTCTATAAGTATATATATATAGTACACACAAATACATACGCGTACTCATGATACCCGCCCAACATCCTCGCACTCGTTACGGATGTTTGCAGCTTGCTCATCGTCGTGAAAACATGCGGGCAACAGGCCAAACACTAAGTCAGTATGACGTTCCCCTGTTCCCAGAACAAACCAAGCCGCCTTCCAGGAATGCCGCCCTGGACGTGAAACGTGTGGCTCGTTCGTGGGAACGTCATTCAAAAGGTCGGTGAGTTTGGCCGTCCCAAAAAGCCCATTTCGGAAAATCTGGGAGGACATGGATTGGGGTTTCTTTGGTTGGGTAGGCCCCTGGGGGACAATCTTTTGCTCCTGGAAGCCTGGGGCCCCTGGCGGGTGCACCGCCAGTGGAGGCCTGCGCCTCGAACATCTCGAGGATCTGATCCGCGCCCGTGGACTCCTGGGCCGCAAGCCGGCGAGGAGCCCGGGGCTACTGAGCCGAATTTCAACACCGCTTCACTCTCAAAACAGGGGGATCCTGCAAACTTTCCAACACATCCTGAAAACAGGGTTCCTCCAAAAAAGGCTTTCCTCAAGACAGGGTTCCATCAAACAGGGCTTCCTCAAAGGGGGCATTATCAACAGGATGCCCTCAAGCATCACCCCCCAAACGGAAACTTGCGGGAACCATTTCGTTTTGGCTGCTTGGGTGACTCCTCCATTGCTTCACCTTGAACAAGGGCAATGAACCCCATAGGCTGTGAAAAAATAACATGATTCTTGCCACTTCTCGTGAAGCAAACCGCTGGTTGATGCACTGCACACAGGTCCCCACACCTGCAGTTTCCGTGCAGCAAAAAGCCACCGAGTTTGTAGCTTGATTCCAGGAACCTCCCCTCTAGAAGGGAACAGACACAGGGGGCAGGCGCTACGGTGATGCTGGGGCTCCCAATGCCTCGGACACGCTGTTTGGCAACATCTCTGACTCAATGGCTGAGTCTTGGTGACCGGACATGACTTGCAGTGAGCGCTTTGGAATCGCTGCGCAAATGACCAAAGGAGAATCAAGCACGCCGGGCAAGAAGTATTGAAAGGACCATAGCATGCTGCACTACAGGTTGAAAACCACCACTGCGCGGCACCAGCTGATGCGCTCTTGCTTAGCCAACCACATGCTTTTCGATTGTCAAGCCGAGTGAGTGAATGAGATGCATCGTTGAATCTGAGCCCTCAATCAAGCAAGCGCTCCCCTAAAACAGGGGCCAAGAGGGATAGTCATCAATCCTTTGATCAGGAACCACGCTTCATGTTGAGAAATTTGGCGATGTGTCGCAGCTTCAACCGGATTGATAGCAGCACTCACTTTCCAACTCCTGTGATCAACATTGCGCAGAGGCTAATATTCAGCTGTATAGTCCGTAGGCCCAAACCTATGGAGACGGGAAAACAAGGGTGCCCTATTCTTTCAGCTTTCCGTCTGGATTGGTGGTGGGGTGTTCCAGGGTGGTTTCCCATTCAGCCTCTCAGCCGACATTGCAAATGCAAACCCAAAAACGGACGGCTGGGGCACGCCTGCAGATATGTTTGAATCGGCCTCAAGTGACTGACATATGTATATATACATATATACATTATATATATATATATATATATAATATGAGGGTGTCTTTTGAGGGGACCCACGATTTGGTTGTTTTCCTTTTGGTTTCCCTTAAAACCAACCAGAAGGGGTACCCGCAAAACAACAGAACCATATATTTATGGGGACCCCCAAATGGCTGGGGTTCCCTAGCCGAACAACCACCGGGCCATGGTCACTCCCTCCAGTGGAACCTTTGCATCGGTTGTCTAACACCCTGTCGTTGACTTCAACCCCACCAAGCGACATCAAGTTGGACCCCCGCGCTAAAGGGCCCCAATCGGTGTTCCTTTGCAATCGATGGGCCGTGGCGAACCAAAATCAAACCAGCGGAAACCAGTGGAATTTGGCAAGTCCACCGTATCCCTCTCAACCAATTCGACGTGAACCGAACTCCTGCGCTCGCAAGCCTTTGACCTTTGGTTCTACTACCACGGCTGTCTCCTCGGAATTGTTGAGTTGGTACCCCTTCTTGGGTCAGTTTGAACGGACCCCCCCACAAAAAAAAAAAAAAACAGCTACAACCACCATTTGGGGGGGGGGTCCTTAAAGCCAAAAGACCAACAAACCCACATGGCTGTGAAGGTTTGAGAGTCCTTCCCCGTGAATCCAGGGCTCCACCTGCGCTGCACCGCACGCATCGATCCCACCTCAGGGGTCTTGTCCTCCCGGATCCGCAGGAACCGCGGGAAGCGCAGGCCGATGCCCTTCCCATCTGCCTGCATCGAACCCGGCCCGGGTTGGCCCAGGAAAGTGGAGGAGTTGTTGTTGGCCCAGGTTGGCCCAGGCAGCGTAAGCTATAAACGGAACGGAAGCTCATCCATGGATGCTCCAAAAAAGAACTTGGGGATGGACACAGCCACACATACAGCTGTGAACTGCCTCAGGATTTCGTCTGCCAACAGTGGCATCAGTGTTGAAACTGGCACGAGAGGACATCAGCCCGGACGAGCGGTCTCTTACAGATCGCAAGTGCCAATCCCGAAACAGCCAACATTGAAACCCTTCCAATTCTTTCAGTCGGGCCAAGCACGGCGTTTGTGTTTTGTCCGGCAAGTACATAACTCTCATTTCCTCATGATGGAACCTCGCGGCCCCATGTCATCCCCTTTGCTTTCTAATGAACATGTCAAACATTACCTTGTAACTTGCTGCTGCTTTATTCATCCTGACTTTGCACTAATCGGAGGATGGTACTTGTCAGGGGTGGGAACCCCTCTTCAGTTCTCCTAATAGCATGGTCCTCCTCCACTCGCTCTGGCACAAACATGTGCTCCTTACAAACCCCTTATGTATATATATATATATACATATGTATATGTATAACAGGGATTTAGAAGGCAATGTTGGATTAATTTATCTCTATGCACGAGGGTTCTTGCTAAGAAAACCATGACCAGGACCCACAGAAGCTTCCAAAACGTTTCCCAGGGCCTTCCCCTGATCAAAAAGTCAACCCCATCTGGCGACGTGTTCCGCAAACCCTGCCTTGACGCCGAAGGCGCTGGTGTGCACGGGAGAGATGCTCAAATCAGCCGCCCTGATCTCCCAGACCTGTCCGATTTCAGCTCCAGACCAGAGGATTTCTATGGGGCTAGGCGCCCTGGCTTTGGGAATTGTATCTTAAGGCCCTTCTCCAACGAAAAGGAAGCAAAGGTGCCACAGGGTGTTTGGGAAGTTGCTATGGTGTTTGAACTATTGGGGTCTTAAGTCTTAAGATTGAAGTTCCTGATGATGGGTGCTCCTTGATTTCCCCGGTCTAACGACAAGGGTGAGAATTTGATCAAACACTGAGGTTGGCAGCTTGGCAGACAGAGGAATCCCATGGATCCGAAAACAAGACTTGGAAAGGCTAAGAGGCAGGCACCAGTTGGGATGGAAAGCCTTAATAAACCAATCCCGACCGATCTTCAGCGCAAGCCACTGGCTTTGCCCAAAGTAATGCCGCCGGCCTGCCCATGTCCGCACACGGATATCTATTTGGCTGGGAAATAGAACGGCCTGCAAGGGTCGTTCTATTTAGGCCGTTGAGAGACCTGCCTTTGCCACTGACAGGGCCCAGATTTCAGTAGACCTGGCTGAGCCATCGCTGCTTCCAAACCCTTTTTAAAATGGCCATTGAAATTGCATCTGTTCACAATTCGAATCAGGGGAAGTAATTAAACCTTTGTCAAAGGGACTCCAAAGAAGGGTATATAACCTGACAACGGTGCAAACTAGGTTGCAGGGTTTTGTCGAGCGGGATCGATGGCACAAGAAGAGAAAAAAAACAATTAACGCACCAGCGTACTCCCTTCACGGGTTCTCAAGGAGCCGTTCTTGAATTTGGCAACCTTTCTAGGTCTCAGCTTGTAGGCCTGACCGTGGGTCCAAAACTGATCCAGAAGCACAAATCCGAAGTTCAAGGGCAATTTGAAAAACCCATACCAGAAGATGCCCTTCACTAGGGAGGAGACCAAACCCCCAAACAAACTTGTTGCAAGTTCTGAGCAGGTTGGGTTGAAACAACCGCTTGCTTGAACAACGATATTGCTTCAACAGCCTTGCTTGGGTTTCCCATTGTAGAAGGGGGCCATGGTCTGTTTGTCTAAACAAGATTGTCAAATCTCGGCTGTCAGAATCTAGCGGGGCAAGGCGGGTGGCACCAAACCCGCTCTTCAGCCTGGCACGGCTCCAGCCACACGTCCGGCTTCAGCTTGTCGTGCACGTGATAGTTGGTCTCAGGGCTGCTTCCCGTAAAAGGGCTTCGAGGCCTCCCTCTTGAAGGTACTTCGTCTACTCAAAGCATCATCTGCTGAACTTCATCTATGTACTTCATTTTTTAATTGTGGCCCATCTGCTGAAAATGAGCAACGCCCAAAACTGACTTTGGAGGTGTGTTTAGGCCGCACTACCGCGTGAAGCCAGGTAGCTGAACCACCAAAATGCCCAACTGAGGTGTTTGGAACCTTCCGTGAGCGCCATACAATCGATTAGCCTTGACCAGAGGCTACTGCTCAGGTGCCAATTTGAGAAGCTTCCGTGGATTGGCCAAGCAAATGCCACACCATTTTTTTCCTTCCCAGAATGGCGCTCCCAAAGTATAAAGTCCAGATCGATAATAGGGGTTCCTTAGGAAACGAATCTTCATGGGTGGAGACACAGGGCCCCTGTGTGAGCTGACTAGGTTGAACTTGGGTTGCCCAAGGTCTACCAGGGCTTCGGCGACCTCCCAATTTCGACTTAAAACGCCTGCTTCCCTAGCCCAGCGCAGGCTTGTCAAACAAAACACCTATCACAGAAGAAGATACCTCAAACCAGAATGGTAACGGCCACATAAGATGTTGGCACCATCCCCAGCAAACTTTTGCCTTCGCCAAAAACAAACCCCCGTCGGGCTACTTGACTCTTGACTCTTGGCAAAGGGGCCTGTGCAAAGCATGCTGGTGGGAGCCCCGAACGGCTTGCGCTTGCCTCCGCACACGGGCGCAGGTGCTCCTTAAAGAACTTGTAGTGCATGATGAGGTCCTACCGACAAATCCTAAGGGTCCCCTGATATCTTCTCTTGATGTACTTGTAGGGTGGGGAGTTCAAATGGTTCAAGTACATCCTTGAACGTAGCAAGGGACTCTCTGAGAACAGTCGGTTGACGGTCAGGTAGAAAGGTTGCCTCCCGAAGCATGTTCAAACAAATGTCTGAACGAATTATGCTATGATATGTTGTGTAATTCTCCGACCTGACCAAGAAATAAACCGAGAGGGCCGAGAGGACTTCGTGGGTGAAATCACTCGCAAACCAAAACAAACTGAGGATCAGATTGCAATTGTAGTTGCCCAAATCGATGGGTCTTCCTCTAAACCGGGAGAATGAAACAGTCCAACTCTCATACGTCGCTTTCACCAGGATTATTTTTGTGTGCCCAGTAGCAACACAATCCCATCGAGCAGAAACTCAGTTCAGATCGGCCACTAAGAAATGTTTGAACCCCCCAGCCAAAAGGGACATACGACCCCGGTTCACTGGGAGAACAAATGCTCCGACTGGAGCGGGTTCGGAGCAGGTTCTCCTGACTCTCACCAAGCTGAAGCCAAAAGCTCAACGGTGGCTGCCACTCGGGAGATTAGGGACCC